TTGAAGAGAATTCAATGGTTAGCTACGAAAGCAGAAGCAGCAATTGAAGAAAATAAAAATATAGAAGAAGAAATAAAATATGGATTGACAAACAATTCATTATTTCTGCGTATATACAAGAGAGTTATGAATCAATATCTTAACAATAAATTAATTCAGGCTATAATGTTTGAACCAAAAATCATCTTTGATTGCAGCTATGAAAATTATATGACCTATTTTGAAATCCATAATTGTGCCAAACAGCTATCCTTGGCATTCGCTAGGAATCGCGCCCATGTCGATCCTATGTGTCTTTACTTTTGCAATTTGAACAGAGATGGAATGCTCATACAGCATTTTTATAGCAATATGCCCAACCTACTAGATGATGATTTCCCAGCAATTGTAACATCACAATCTTATTTAGATTTATTTCCAAGAGATCAATTATTATATCTTACTCCGCATTGTAAAACAGATTTGATAGAATATGATTCTGATGTAATATATATTATAGGTGCTATCGTAGACAAGGTAACTTGATATAAGAGCTATCTATTTTACATTAGGAATAAATTAAAAAAATAATTTTTTGCCACTTTATAGAGCAACAAAGAACCCTTATCTTTGGCGAAAGCCGAAAAAGAAGGTATTCGTGTAGCCAAGTTACCTATAGAAAAATATTTTGAGTGGGGTTCTTGTTCAAGGAAAAGTTTCACGCTTGATCAGATGATGAAGATAATATTAGATTTAAGATATACAGGAAACTGGAAGAAAGCATTACAGCATATTCCAATTCGAAAATTAAAACGGACAAAAAGTGTTTATTAGGCTTCCCGCCCATTCAGCACTACAAATGCTTCGAAGTGTTTGATGGACCAATCAAACCAATTACCAATTGATTTGAAAATCAATCAAACAACGTTTCGCAGCATTTGTAACATCAAGTGTGAACATCATTAATAAAAAAACTTTGATATCTTAATAAAGATAGAGTTTTAAATCACTTATCACTGATTTAAGATTTTACATTTTTCAATGAAAAAAGATGGTTCACTGTATATAATATATTATTCTACGTATAAAAATTTTGTATGTGTATTTTAATTTATACATAAATTATATGACAATGAAAAATGAGCAAATGACCATTCATTTCACAATTTAGTTATTTTATTTATTTTCTGATCCCATATACATGGAAGATTATTACTATTTGCATCTTTCGTGCAACTGTTTTCCGTTTTCAACAGATTTTTCAACTTGACATATTTCTATGAAAAAATTGTCTCATTCATTGTCAATTTGGCGGACATTCTGACAAACGCACATTAATATAATATTTAATTTTATAAATTAAAGAATATTAGTTTTATTAATTTCAATTTTAAGATAAATTTATAGAAATATATTTATGCTTTATTCGATCTATTTTTTCTGTTCCTTATAAATCATTCCTTATAAATCATTTTATTTTTTATTTTGAATGAACACACACATATGATTATTTTATTGTGTCATATTTTACTTTATTCTCGTCTGTTTTATTTTTATTCGCGGAAAGTACATTCAATTTTTCAGAAGAAGAGGACATCTCGTGCGGATGTCTCATGTCTCTTTGAGATTTAGTCCTGCGCGGTTATCGAATATTCGTGAATGAATCTGTGACCTCGTCCCGCGTGACGTCACCAGCAGCCGATCGGCCGACCAATACTCATTGGTGAGTGAGGAAGAAGCGGCGATCTATGAGGTAGCGCGTGCGCCGTCGGACGAGAGAAGCACGTACACCGTACACCAGCTACGGGATAAGCGGGCGGGCAGCCAGCCAGGCGGGCTTCCCTGCCGTTCTTCTTTTCGTCCCGTTATTCGAGTCCCGGTGCGAGAAGACAGCGGCGGATAGAGATACGCAACGACAAGAAACTAGAGGGATAATGGGGGAGTATGTTCTTCGAAGTTGAATAAATCTCGCGCGCTTCCGTTTTCATCATCCGGATAAACGGTCGCATCCTCGGCTACCTCTGTGCAGTGTGTTATTTCGTGTCATTTTTCTTCCTAGAAAAAAATCTCCGGCTTGTATCTTTTTTCTCACCTTTTTTTCTTAGCGATAGAGAAAGAGACGGAAGGAAGAGAAAGAGTGTCTCTGCTATTTGTTTCGCTCCGCTCCATTCCGTATGCTCCGTTCTGATTGATCGATTATACGGACCCGCGCACGGATAATTGGGTCGCGCGCGCGGCTCAATCCGCGACCCAGTTAATGCAGAATCGCGGCTCCATCCACGAAAAGAAATAGGAGAAGCGAGAGAAGAAAGAAACGAAGATGGAGAAGGATTTTCATAAACGGGAGATAAACAAGAGCCCTTAGGCATATACGATTCGTTTGCATGCCTTGGGCTACATCTCTACATATATGATGAAATTGCAGCTATTCGTTATCGAGACGGATTACTGTTGGAGGAAGGCGTTGCTTAGGTAAGCGATTATCCGCTTGTCGTTTCGTTGACAAACGACTGCTACATATGTTTCAAACTTGCTTTCTATGTATTCGCCCTGCTTTGACAATTTGAGTTGCATGAATAGAATATGATTAAATAAACGTGCTAATGTTGAATTTGAATCGCTTTCCCCGTTACTTGTAGGTAAAGAAACTATATTAAAATTTCTTTCTTTTTTTTACTGGCTATCCATCACAAAATCAGATAAATTATTATTTTATTCAGATCTTACTTTATCGGATTTATTGATTTGGAATGAAAAAAAGGCGGATTCAAATAGATTTTTAACAACAGCATGTTCACGTACTAGTGATCGTAACTGATCTTTATAACATAGTCGCTTTTATGTTTTAGGCATATCGTTACTTGTAGCAACTACTCTACATTTCTACATTTCTATTAGTGAAATATTTCAATTATTTATCATATTATTTATTATTTTATTATTACAGTTACATTACGCATTAACCACTCGATTCATCACTCGAAGAAAGGATCAGATCGTATATCATGGCCGCGTTTATACTTCCAGCCAGATTTGCAAGCAGCATTAAGCGATGTCAATAATGTACCTTATCCGCTTGGAATAAAGCAATATTCTCATCGCTAATTCGTACCATTTTTCATTGCTCTCATCTCAGTCTCGTATGTAGATACTTATATGCTTCGCAAGATTGCGAATGTCTCTCAGCAATGTCCACGATATTGATGATGTGGCGATATAGAACCATCATAACGAATAGCAGCAAAGCTTATCCTCCTCTCTTTTCTACTATCATTCGTTAAAAACAGAAGCAAATGACTCGATGATATCCGATGTTAACGTGCAATCACAATTTGAATTTCGGCGGGCGGAATCATTGTCGAGTTTACCGTGACTGTCGTCGATGCGCTCGCGTCGCGCAATTTTGTAATGTAGCAGAAGCGAATGGATGCGCGTACAAGTTGCGGACAAGTTACTTCGCGAACGACGCCGAGATTATCGCGCACGATTTTTCAGTTCCGTTTCATTGTCGTTTCTTTTACGAATTTTTTCCTTCTCGGATCTCTGTGACGTTTTCTCGGCGTTTTCTTCGTCCGTGCCACGCGAATGTGCGCGACGCGAATTTCGTGGACAACGCCATCTTCGCTTGTCCCTTTTTTACGTGAAACGTCACGTCTGGTCGGTGCGTGCAAACCACGGTCAAAGTGGCGCGAGCGGCGTGCCTGTAATCGGTGATCTTTGCGCGCGTGTGCCGTGCCCGCTGTATGGTGTACGCTGTGCGCGTCTGCGCGTGATCAGTCAGTGTGCGTGCGACCGTGCGACGGCGACGTGTGGTGTGAGGTGCGAGGCGGTGCGAGCGAGCGAGCGAGTGCAAATCGCGCGGATCGCCACCAGTGGCGTCGTCCAACAATACGCACGAAACGGAATTGAGCGAAGTGTCGTGAAATTGCATTCAGGACGTATGTGCGTGCGTCCGTCTATCCGTCTGTCCGTTCGTTCGGTCGTTCGTGCATGTGTGCCCCGTCGTGTGTGGCTAAAAGTGACCAAATGAATTTGCGTCCAAGATCTAATTCTGAGAATTCGTCGACAACGACAGACGAGCGCGAGCTCGAAGAGGAGTTATTTGCCGTCCAGTGTCCATGTAAAATCACTCACTAGAACTGCCCTCTCCCTCGCTCCTCCGTATAGTTGGTTAGTTTCGTGTGTCGTTTGATTAGTGTTGTGTGTCACTCTTGTCTCTCTCTTTCTCTCTCTCACACATCTTTCGATTCTCTTCAGTACCACGCTCCGTTTCTCTCTTTCTCTCCCTCCGTCTTTCCTTCTTCTTTCATCCCCTCTTTTAAGAAAGCGATCGTATTCGGATCAGTGTTGCTATCAGGGACGCTTTCTCGCGCATGCGTATTTAGATGCAGGTTTAATGCAGGGAAGTATCGTTTAGAAGAAAAAAGGTATTACTTGGTCTTTTACTGCAATTTTTTATATTATATAAAATTGTTTATAATTATATAAAATTGTATAAAATTGTAAAAATTATATAAAAATTATTTAATTATATAGAATTTTAAATATAATTAAATTAATATTAATAATCTACACTAATATACAATAAAATTAATTTTTTAACGAAGTTATATTTTTGTAAATGTAAGGAAAGAAAGTATATAGTACACACAAGTAAAGGAAAGAAAGTATATAATAAAATACATTTATGTGTTTAAAATAAAATATTTTATTTGAAAATTACGAGCATGCTTTTTAATAGCCTCTTTATGTATATCTATAGTAGTATATTTAGTATATTTATGGATAACAAATAACAAATAATAAATAATAACATTTACTTTTAATAACAATTAATAATATTTAAATATTTACCTTACTTTATTTATCTCATCCTAGCGTGGAGCACGCCAAAATTTTAATGCCTATTATATATGTATGTCATGTTACAGCCCTAGATATAACTAGATATAATTATTGATCATAATACGCATGCGCGAAAAAGCGGCCCTAATAGCAACAGTGATTCGGATGCGCATTTTGTTGGTTATGTTTCCCGTTATGTCGTCTCGTGCACATAGTTGTAGCGCGGAGTTGTAAAAGCGCGTATGTTCGCGTCTGGTTGTAGAAGAGAAAGAGAGAAAGAAAGGGAGAGAAAAGGAGAGAGGCAAAAAAGAGACTGTACTGTAAATGACATAGTAGTGTGTGTACGTATAAAGTAAAATGCATAAGTTAAGACTACCTGTCAAGGTCGAATTGCCCAGTGCTTTAACAAGGTATGGCGAGACCTAATTTACAGGTTATTTCTTTTTATTATTTCTCTTATACGATTACGTTACGCGTCGTTTGTAATATCCGAGTTGTATGTTCAAGTTTTAGATACATAATTCTGGATGCTGCTGCATGTCAAAGCTTCGTTTTACGCCTTATTATTAGTTATTTACGCCTTATTATTAGTTATTTTTGAATTGTACATCTTCCAAATATTTGCATCTGCATTCTATATCGTATCCCACTCCTTATGTTTGTTATTTTAGTTTGGACTCTTTAAGAGCTCTACACGAAATTTTATTTTATTTTTACGGATAGAGATATTTATTTTATTTTTACGGATAGAGATATATCTACATTTGTGTTTTGTGCTATTATTAAATGCTTAGGAAATCACGTGTGCTATTGTTTCTGCAATGTGGACATTGTCCTGTGCTCTTATTTCAGCCATTATCATGACAGCACAATTATGTTAATGATATCGTGCTAATCACAGTACGTTTGTTTTGCACCCAGAATCATGGAATCCATTATAATCAACTCAATTATTTTCAATAGTTTTTAGCTAAATGCCAATAAAAGAATATTTGATATTATATACATTGCGCACATATATTTATATGGTATTACAAACACACACACACACACACACACACACACGCGCGCGCGCGCGCGCGCGCGCGCGCTCAGTATCAATTAATTATCAATTTAATGCATGAAATATATAATATTATAGATTTTAAATAATAATAGTATTAAATACTAGTACTGAATGAGTTTAATAAAATATTAGTATTAATATTAGTATATTAGTATAAAATATTAGTATTTTATATATTACGTATATAAAAAATGCTTATCATATAAGTATATTTATCAGGTACTCAATAGTCTAATCTCAATACTCTAAGTTGATATGTCCCAAAATTGGCAGCGCTGCTTTATCGTGATAAAATTTCGTATCACCGTTTCCCCATATAATTAAAATACATAATTCCAAGTAATAATCGAACATTTTTTGTCATGCACTTTAATAACTGGTTTCACTTTCATCATATATCATGGTTTCTAACAATCTGTAATCAATTTCACCGCAGATGATGCGACATTTTTTGTGGAATATTTACAAAATTTATCGGTTTAGTATAATTTAATGCAATTAAATTTTTCTATAAAAATTAATACAAGAATTATTTTCTTCAAAAATGGAAATTTAATTTATGAAAATCAAAATTATTATCTATAATATATTATCGAATGTACTTATAAAATCTTATCTAGAACTTTTTGATACAAAAGGCTTTTGGCCTTGTAACGCTCATAAAAAATTTCAACCTTTCAATATCCAATATTGTCTTTATATGACTTGTATTATCATACATAATTCCGTTGTTATCATGATGACACTCTGCATTATCTTTTATATTTATATTTATAGTTTAAAGAATATTTAAAGAATATTTGTTTAGCATTACCTGATATTTTGAAACTTAATATAATCGCGTTTCTTTGTGCGATCGCAAAAAATACGGTTATTTATATTTGTCATTATATGCGCGTGTAATCCGTGCAGCTGTATCATATATAACGATCAAGAGACATTTATTTGAACAGCTGGTGTCGAAAATATATCAGATGTTTATCTGAACTATCGTAGGCGTTGAAAACGTTAAAAACGAGGGTGCGCGTTTTAATATATTTGTCCTGCTGATAACGTAAATTTTTTAAATATGGCAATAATATTAGAAGGAAAGATGTTTTTGGCAAGAAATTTATTAAAATTTCTACATATATATTATA